ATTTATTTAACACAATTGTCCTAAGGTAAGGTGCGGATCATACACTTCCAAGAGAAGCATTGTCAGTTTGGGGAATAACCTACAGCTGTTCAGGTGTTTGGCCAACAGGAGGCAATCAAATGCCCTGAGCTGTCTGTCAACAGACAATCCTATTCAGGTTTGGGGAAAATGCCTTTTAGCCAATTCCAACAGGTAAACTCTTTGTGTATCTCAACCTCATTGAGCGCCCAAGCCCCGTCAATCTTTTGATGGAACCCTTGTAATCATTACATCCTGGAATTGGTTCCTGGCAGCCCTTTTAGTCCTGGATTTCATCCTTAGGGGCCTGACTCCAAACATGCTTGTCCCATGATTGTGTGGGTGGGAAGAGAATGAGCCATGTCACTCAATTCTATGGATCAAAAATGGCCTCCGATCTACCACTCACAGTTATTGCAGGGGCCTCATGCACCGGGGATCTCCGGTCTCCACATCCCCCACGTAAAGAGAGATGAACTAACGGGTTCTAAGTGGAGGCTGCCAGGGATTAAGAAATAATAGAAATAAAAAGAGAAGACACAGAGATAGATTTTAAGCTGGGAGCTGGGTGGGACGCCATTGTTCCTCTCTGATGGAGAGGCTACAACAATGAGAATGAGGACCTCTCCCAGCACATGTATTTTATACCCCAATACCAGGACGTTATCGCCGATTTATTTGCATTCTTAAGTAGGTCCTAGCATGCCTGGATTTACATATCTAGGACCACCTCTGCCGACACCTGGGCTGATATAAAGGCCAAGCTGATTACACTTCTCGCCATCCTGTGTATCCCAGGCATAAATAAGAGCCTGCATTTCTACTTATCTATAATAGATGTGAAGGACCTTTAACTTTCTGCTGCAGTAGATCCAGCCTTTCCAGAACTAAATCCAGCTGTAAAAATGGTTAATGCCTGAGGGACAACATTTCTTTTAATGTGGCAGCCATAACCATTCCCTGTGTTAGAAGTAAAGCAAACCCCTAAGCCAGGGTCTTGGTAGAACACAAAACATCAAACATTTTGACTTCCATGCAGAAGGGTGTGCACACATGGTCTCTCAAAACTTTATAGAAATGCGTGCACTGATCTTCCTTGCCCTTGGTCCTGGGCAACCTGCAGCAATGCACAGGTGCAGACTGCTAGCATGGCAAGACATCTTCACCATCTTTATTTCTGGACTATTTCTATTCTGTTCTTGTGGACCACTGCCTATTCTGTGGCTGGAATAGTCTTATCAGGTCCTCTCTGGGATCTGTTGTTGCAGGAATCCATATGGTCTAGGAATTTTCTGGAAATATAAACATATTCTCGACCAAAGGTTCATAAAGAAATCTTTTCTAAAAATTAGACTTGGGATCCTTCTGATTTTTGTCCAAATGATTTTTCCTTGACTTACTTTGACACCATAAGAGTTTTCATAGGTGCCTTGTTACCAGCATTATAAATGAAAATTAATTTTCAAAGTAAAACTTTTTTCTAGGTGTAAATTACTTACAAGATATTTTTTCTTACATGGTATTTTTCCACTCCTCCCCCCTTTTTTAAATTTAATTACTAGGAGGCTTTTGGAAAATTCTTATAAAGCAGTTTTGATAACTTTACATTTTAATTTTTGCACAAAAATATGACTGCTTTAGGCTCATGGCATGTTACACAAATTTACCATGAAATGAACTACCAATAGAAATTTTGGTTAACACTTTAGGAACAGCTTTTTGTATAATTAAATTTTCTTGAGTATTCACTTATTTCATTTAGCCACTTTAAATTAATCTGAAAACTTGACTATTTTACTATCAAATTTAATCTTCTAGTAACAATCTTAGTTTGCCCAGTAAATATTAACAAAAGAGCTTATCGGGCCAAGATGGGGGCCGAGGCAGCAGGGATTTCCCTTCTTAGCATCCCACATGGAAAGAGAGAGGAACCACCGGTTCTAACTGGAGGCCGCCAGGGATTGAGAAATAATAGAAAGAAAGAGAGAAGACGTAGAGATAGATTTTAAGCTGGGAGCTGGGTGGGATGCCATCCTTCTTCTCTGATGGAGAGGCTGCAAGGACGAGGACTAGGACCACGACCCCTCCCAGCGCATATACTTTATATCCAATACCAGGAAGCATCACCAACTTATTTGCATTCTTAAGTAGGCCCTAGCATGCTTGGATTTACATATCTAGTCCTGCCCCTGCGGACACCTGGGCTTGATGAAGGCCAAGCTGATTACACTTCCCACCATCTTGTGGAAATGTGTATCCTAGACCCGGCTCTGCCAATCATCTTGGTATCATCTGGCAACAATGAAAAGAAATGCCCATGTGCCCTCCCAGGCGGCCCTGTACTGTTCTTATAGTGGGGCCGTGGTTGAGCATTGACCTATGAACCAGGAGGTCACGGTTCGATTCCCAATCAAGGGCACATGCCCAGGTTACCTGTTCAATGCCCACTGTGGGGCATGCAGCCAATCCATGATTCTCTGTCATCATGGATGTCTCTATCACTCTCTCCCTCTCCCTTCCTCTCAGAAAGCAATGAAAATATATTAAAATTATTTTTAAGGAGCTGTCAGCCACAGCTCAGAGTCCTTATTGATTTCATTGGAGGCGAGGACAGGAGGCCACTGTCACAGAGTCCCACCAACATCATGACGCTTGCTCGTTGGCGCCAGAGTTGTACCTGCGGAGTGAGTGCCTGCAGGGTCTGATGTGACCTGGCACCTCCGTCCTGTGACCCGGAACAGGAGGTGTGTGACGGGAGGGCCCATGGGGACACGTGTCTCCAGAGGCTGCGGAGATGGCACAAGCCCACGGGGACCTCATGACCCAGAGGTGACGTCTGAGGCGCCTCCACCCCAGACACCTGAGACCATTTAGAGTCTGAACGCTGGGGGGGCCCTGGGACCCAAGGGGCACACGTGGCCAGCGCATCCTGCTGAGGGCGGAGAGCAGAGACCCCGAAGGCCTTAGGGACATGATCCCTGCCACCTCCCCCCCTCCTGTACCCTGACTCCAGTGCCCGTGTGCAGGTCACAGAGTCACAATGAGCCTGGCTTCCCTGTGTCCATTGGACAGACAGACAGGTGACTGGGAACTGACAGCTGGTGGTGACTGAGCGCCATCCCAGTCAATCCAGAGCCCACGCAGGAGCGAGCAGCCCTAGGAGAGGCCGCGCCCTCCTGGCCGGGAGGTCAGGCCGCCGGGTGTTGGCTGTGGGGAGGAAGTAAGCCACTTCTGTGTGACTGTCACTCACGGTTTTCCGTTCTGGGGCATAACCGGACGGCTGGCGCGGACGGCCAGGCACCGTGCCGAGCCTTTGTCCTGGAGGAACCCCCGGGTCCTCACACGTCCGTGGGGCCCCCCTGGTGTTACAGACGGGGACACTGAGGCAGGAGGGCCAGCGCCTGCTGGAGGCCGCCGTCTTAGATGTCTCAGAGGCTGGTTCGTTACCTGCTCCTGAGGACCAGCTTGTTGGCCTGCTGGGTGCTGCCCCCGGTCTGAAGGGAGGTGTTCACAAGTGGAGCCTCTGTGTTTGCTGGTCTGTGTTCACAGCAGCTTGTAGTTCCCAGAAAACAGAGGGAAAGTGGGAGGGCCTGGCCGGGCAGCTCAGTGGCTGAGCGTCACTCTGTGCAGAAGGGTTGCAGGCAGATTCCTGCTCAGTCCCCACCCCAGATGCCTCCAGAACGTCCGTCCCGCAGGCACAGAGGGCCGCTGGTGCTCCCCACAGCCCTGGTGGGATTGAAGACTGAGAGAGAGTAGAGAGAGCCCCACCCCCCTCACCCCCACCTTCCGAGCATCAGGCCTGGTGCTGCGGGGACCCCAGGGGCGCGGGTGCAGGGTGGGAGCGAGGTGAGAGGTTGGGCAGCTCACACGGACCTTGCCACCCACCCCCCTCGTCCTGCCGAGTGGCTGGGCTCTTGTGCTTCTCCTCCCGCGACGAGGACGAGTCCCTGATGCCCGCAGCCCGCAGGCTGAGGCCCCTCAGGGGGCTTTCTGCCAGGGGAGGAGGGAGCAGGGAGGAACGAGGTCGCCCTCAGCAGAGCCCTGGACTGAGCAGAAACCCAGAGGCGCGCAGCTGACTGAGACCTTCAGGCCACGCACTCCCTTCCGTCCGGGGACCCCACTCCCAGAACCAGGCCTCCGGGGACCCCACACCGGGGACCCCACTCCCTGTCTGTGCTGCGTGGCCTCACATTCGCGGCCCTGTCCCTGCCCCACGGCCTCTCTCCGGGTCCTGCGGCCTCCCTGCCCCATGGAGCAGCTGCCACGGCCGGCACAGGTGGAGGACCGGCCTGCGGGCGCGTCTGCTGGGGGCCCGATGCCCACAGGGGCCACCCCAACACCGACACGGTAGCATCCAACAGCACACGTGGGTGCCGATGGGTCAGAAATCATGGGGGCTCTGACCCGGAGCTCAAGGCAGAAGGGGGCGGAGGGAGGGCCGTCTTCCTCTGGGCACTGCTTTCTCTGGGGAAGCTGACAGCGCGGACATGGCTCCCTGCAGTGCCCGCAGCAGCCCTGGCGCAGCGGGCACCATGGACCCCAAAGGGGCGACCCGCCACGCGGATCGCCACTGCACTCGGGGTCCCTCCTCTCCTGCAGGGACACGTGGCGACCCCCTCTCTGAGCCAGGCTTGGGGTGAGGAAATGAGAATGGGGCCCCATCTGCACGGAGGGGGCTGCCTCCCAGGGGCTCCCTTCACCGAGGGGTGCGCACTGGCCACCCTCCCACCTCGGGCGCTGCCCCAGGGAGCTGTGCAGGTGCCAGCGAGGCCTGGATCCGACCATGTCCCCGGGCTTTGGCGTGACAGATGGCATCAGCCCTCCACGTGGAAGGTTGGGCTGGAAGCCAGGCCTGGCACCTGTCGGTCCCCTGAGGGTGGCACCCGGGAGGCTCACTGGGTACAAAAGGCCCAGGGCTCCCAGGCGGCTCACTCAGCTCCTCTCGTTCCTGCTGACTCCGCTGCGGTCCGGCCTCAGGCACCATGAAGCTGGCCCTGCCTCTGCTGCTGGTCACCCTGGCCCTTTGCTGCCCCGACGGTGAGGGTCCCTTCCACGCAGACACGGCGGCCGGAGGACCTTCTCCGGTCCCGGGGACGTAGATGGGGAGGGGGACGGGTCAGAAGGAAACCTTTCCCATTCCCGGGGCACCAGCCCCCCAAGCCCAGGACTGGGGGTGTCACGTCCGGGGTCTGGAACTTCCACAGAAAGCACCGCAGGCAAGTGCGGGTCCCGGGGCAGCCACGCCGGCCGGGGCTGGTGCAGAGGCAGCAGGACGGAGCCCGCTCCTGTGGTCAGGGCTCCGCCCGGCAGCGCTGGGACCTCCTCGCTCCCCAGTAGCTCTCCTCCCTCTTCTGCGCCTGTACTGTCTCCCTCTGGGCCCGCTGCTGGGGCCTGCCCCTGCCTTCCCTGGGAAGGCTGGCGGCTGACAGCTCTCTGCTCAGGCGCCAGGCTAGGCCGGAGGGGCTGTGTGAGAGGCAGAGCGGAGTCTGAGGCCCAGGCACAGTGACTGGCACAGCCGGCTGGGATGTGGGGAAGCCCTGGGTGCACTTGGTGCGGAGAGAGTGACCAGGGCGTCCCCTGGGCGCCATCCTAGTCCCGCCATGTGCTCTGTGCCTGTGCCATGAGGACGGGGGAGGCGCACTTCCCTGGAGGAGCCCTTCCCGCCCTGCGTCCTGTCTCACTCTGGGGCCACAGAGCATGGCAAAGTGACTTCCTACATCAGCTGTGTTTCTCTCTCTCCGGCTCCAGCCAATGCAGGGGAAGTTTGTCCAGCCCTTCATTCGGTGATGTTCAGCTTTCTGTTGGATCCCAGAGAGGAATACCAGCGGAAGATTAGTGACTTTGACGCACCTGAAGAAGCCGTTCAGGGCGCAATGAAGGTGAAGACATGCGTAGACAAGATGTCCAGAATGAACCGATTGGCGATGGCCCACTTCGTGGTAACTTCCTTCTCCTTTCTGCACGAGGCTGCTGCTCAGCTCAGGGGCAGGCGGGAGGAGGGCGCTGCCCTTGGGGGGCACAGGGGGAGCTGACCGCCACGCTGTCTCTCTAAGGAAACCAACATTGCAGGGAGGGGGGTTAGTTCCTTCACCCCCAGTGAGGCCGGGCGATAAGCATGTGTCTCCCGTGTGCACACGCCAGGGCGCCACCAGGTGCAGGTCTGCACCTGGGCTGCAGAACTCCGCAGCAGATCCTCCCTCCCCCCCGCTCCCTCTCGTACCCTCAACATCCCACCCACGCGCCCACTCCTGACTGAAAAGTCCCGTCCTGGGATCTGGGACTCAGAGAAAGCACATCCCGGGGGCTCCATGCCGTGTCCCCCTCCCGGCTCCCTCAGACACAGAGGCCGCTCCTGGGCCCTAGCTCTGCGGGGCCGTGGCCGGGGCTCCGGGGGATGTGTCTGCGGTCGTGGCACCGGGACCATTGGACGCCCCACCGGCTCCCGGGCCACCCGCTGCCCGGGGCCGTCGCTGCTGGCAATGTCTCCGGTTTTGGTTGTGAACACACTCTGCCCGCGGCCTCTCCAGTGCAGCCTGACTGACAGCCTGTCTCTCTCTCGGTCTATTACAGAAGATTGTCGAATTCGAGTGTAAGAAGCAGTCTGCGTAAACCTTACCTACGAACGCCCTGTCTCTCAGTGATGGGCTGACCTTCCCTGGCAAATGCAGAGGTTTCAACGTCTTGCTTCAATAAATCACTTTCCCTGCACGATGTCTCTGCCTGTCCTGTTTTATCCGGTCTCTGGCCGTGGGGGAGGAGGGGACACCATGAGGGGCCGTGGGCGGTGCCAACAGTGCATCGTGCTGACCCGATGGGCAGTGACCGTGGCGCCTGACCACAGGGATCAAGAGGGACCGTGGGCTCCGGGCCCGGCCCGTGTCCCTGCACAGGCTCCCAGCCTGGCTGCATGAGCCACGCCGGCTCCGCACCTCCATCCCCGAGGCGCCCACGCAGCCAGCCGGACGCCTGAGAGCTCTGGCCTCGTATCCAGCGGCTGCTGTGGCTCAGGGACCGTTCCCCAGGGGCAGTTCAGGAGGCTGCGGTCTGTCTCTCTGCCCTGACCAGGTGCAGAAGCCCTGCTGGCTGCCCAAGGCCAGGGCCAGCTCTTCCTGGTGGCTTCCCGCTGGCAGTGGATGGCAGGCCTGGTCTGCTCCAGGGGCTGCAGGGCCCCCCCGGAGCTGCCACTGCGCCTCCTTCCTGTGGGGGATGGCAGAGCGCAGACCCTGGAAACCCAGGGTGGTCGCCCACACTCAGCATCTGCCCCTTGATCACAGCTATAAAGTCCCCCAGGAAAGCAGGGTCACCCAGGGCTCAAGGTGGGGAACTTGGGGCAATGACCCCAGGGCTGCTCCTCTGATCCTGACACCTGAGAGTCACACATGGCCCCTTCATGGTCCTCCGTCGCACAGCCTGTTTTCCATCTGCACAGCCATTTCTCCCAGCTTGTGCCCACGAATGCTCCTCCATCCCCTGGGCGGAGCTGCCCTCCCTGCCCTGCGCCTGGGCACCCACACTCAGTGACCCCACAGGAAGGGGGTCGGCCCTCCTTCTGCCCCTGAGAGCCCGGGACTGGGCCTCCATGTTTCCAGGACGAGGACTGGCCATGAGTCCTCAGCGCCTCCCGCGAAGAAGGGCACATGAGGCCCCCGTGCCTGAGGGCACCGTCAGGGTGACCGCCTGCTCTCCGATGCCCCACGCTCCACAGGGAGTGGCAGGGTCTCGGCAGGAACACACACACTCAGCTGCCTCCTTCCCGAAGCCCAGGGTGAGCTCAGCCTCCCGCCCGTGCATTGCGGGCCCAGGATTCTTGAGCTCTTGCCACAGCCTGAGAGACACAGGCTGGAGTCCCACCAGGAGGGCCGAGGCCCCCGCTGGTGCTGCACACCCAGCCTGGCAGGACCCATCCCTGTCCCCTCCCCCTCTCCCTGCCCGGCCCAGATCTGTGCTCCATCATATTGTCTCCATGCCACTCACACAGGCGGTGCGCTGGTCACACCCCGCACCTGGTCCTGTCGGAGTCGCTCTGCCTCCACATTGCCCCCTGCACAGGACAGGAGACCTCCTCTGTGAGGTCCATTCCACATCTCCCCTCGCGCAGCCCTCTCTCACTCTCACCCCTAAAATAAGTCTTTACACACAGACACACAATTTACCCTCAGCCACACTCACAGAGATACACATCTTTACACAGAGTCCTCCCTGTGGTGTACGCAGAGCAAGACCCATACATACACACTTGCACAGACAGCCATGCACACACACAGCCATGCACACACACAGCCATGCACACACATAGCCATGCACACACACAGCCATGCACACAGGCACAAATGAACAGACAGAGAAGCACACAGTGAGACACATGCACTCACAGGCAGAGTGAGCCATGTGTCCTCTCTGTGCCTTTCTGTGAAGTGCTATTCGCATTGCAGAGTGGCGGTGAGAACTCAGTGAAGGCAGTGATGACACCAAAGGATAAATGGCATCGCCCGCTGCTGTGATTCCCAAACTGCATCGGAGTTTGCCAGCAGCGAGCAGCCCCTGGGCGGAGGGCGGATGTGGTCCGGGAGCCTGGTCTCCAGGAAGGTGACAGTCCATTGTCGTCCATTGTCGGAGGCTAAAGCCAACAGCAGGTAACTTCAAAAAGAGGCAGTGGACGGCCAGTGGGCCTGGATGGCCAGCAGTTTTGATTATCAGCTCCAGCTCTGCTCCTGCTGTGATGGCCATGGCTCCAGGGGAGTTCCGACCTGATAACCTTTACATTGTTTTTCCGAACTTTACCTTTGATTTGCTGTAGGCATTGCTAAAGGGCGAAGGTGTCTTCACAGTGAATAAAAAGCGAGGGGACCAGTCTCAGGAGCCTCCTCACCAAAGACGTTTCCACCTGACCCCCATGCCTTCCACATTGGCATTTCTTGTATAGCATTCTCATTTGTGTGTCAGCCCCTCCTGTGATCCAGAAACCTCACCGAACTGGACACGGCAGACTGTCACCCACCGGACATGGGACGAAGCAAGTCTCCCCCTGGCCCCTGCAGCTTCGGGTCCTCTCAGAAACCATCAGGAAGAATCAAAAGCAGAGATGCCCCTGCCCTGCCCAGGATTAAGGTGTGGGGATCTCTGTGGGGAGAGCCCACATGGTCCCCGGACCTCACCTCCTCCCCCTTCCTCCCACCTGTAGGGCAGCCCCCAGTGTCAAAGGGTCAGCAGCTCCCAACACAGCAGGTGCCCTTGATCACCCCCCTCCCTAAACCTCCCAGCCCTGCCAGCCTCGCACCTGCAGGTCCAGCCTCACTCCTAGGCTCTGCCACTGAGAGACCCGGGCCCTAACCATCTGGCCATGGGGGAAGGGGATCCAGGCTGCACAGGTGGGGCTGGAGGAGGGGAGGTGACTATTTGAAGGGGAGCCCCTGTTTGGGCCGAATCTGGATGGACAGAGGTGACGTAAGGACGGTGCATGCAGCAATGCCAGTGAATGCTACATGCAAAGGAGGTGAACATGGTGAATGCTATGTTGTGTATGTTCCACCCCACACACAGGAAAGCCCCACACAGCTGAGGGCTCTGAAAGGCAGTGCAAGGACATCCCGAAAGGGGTAGGAGGGCCTGCATCCCACCCTGATACACCCTCCAGGCTGTCCACACTCCCGTCAGGCCATGTCCGCTGTCCACTCGCTTCCTAGAGTAGGAGCTGAGAGTCACGTTCAGAAAGCAGTCTCCTCAGGCCTGTGGGTGCATCAGAACCTCCCCTCCTGTCCCAGCCCACACCTCATCTTCCTCCCCTCCTTCCCTTCTGCTTTTCTCGCCCAGAGGCCACCAGCCTTTCTGAGGTGCCAGCGGCATCCAAACAGAGAGAGACAGATGCTGGCAAGCTGTTCCTAAACCTGTGTTCTGTGAGACTGCTCCAACCCTCGGGGCCGGGAAGGGCTCTCCCGTGGGGCCCTTCCCGGGTCTTCAGGAAGCTCGGTGACCGAGCTCCACCTCTGTCTTCAAGGGGAATAAACATTCAAAGTCAAACAAGCCACTCTGGACAAAAAAATAATAATAAAAAAGATACGATGGCTGGAAAATTATAAAGCACCTGGAAGACAGAGCAGAATAGTGTAACAAGTCCAGAAATGTGAGGGGAAAGAACAGAATGGTAAGGCTGCCATTCAGGAGGTCCAACCAACAGGATTGCAAAATGAGAGTGGTCCAGGTAGAAAGAAAGTCACCAAAGAAACACATCAAGCAAACCTCCCTACAGTGAGGAATATGAAATGGGCTGGCCAGCATGGCTCAGTGGTTGAGCATTGACCTAGGAACCAGGAAGTCATGGTTCCATTCCTGGTCTGGGCACTTGGGTGGTGGGTTCGATACCCGGAAGGGGGCATGTAGCAGGCAACTGATCAAAGATTCTCTCTCATCATGGATGGTTCTCTCTTTCTGCCTCTCCCTTCCTCTCTGACATCAATAACAATACATTAAAAAGAGAATAGGAGATGGAATAGACACTCATTCCCACATCAGACACCTCTGTGCGCCTCTTTGGAACAAGGCCCTAAGGAAGAAGCTCCTTTCAGGAGGAGACACACGTCTCAGGCGAGGATGGGAACAAAACAGAATCCACACAAGACTGGGAGCCACCGAGGGACACTGACACTTCTGAGGCTCTGACTTGTCAGTGACTAGGACCAGCATCCTACATGCAGCTCACTACTATGTTAGCAGAAAGAAAAAAAGATATTCCTCAATGCAGATCTTCAAAATCTTGATCTGCAGTGTTCTGTCCCTCATAGCCAGGGAGAAATTCGCTCTACATAAAGGAGTAGGTGAAAAAATACCCACAACACACAAGGCATGTTGTAAACACGGGATAGAACACAGGAGTTCACAGATGAATCTGTACTCCTCATAAGTATTTCCACAGCAGGAGACACAGGGCTCACGTTCTCAGAGAAGCTGTCTTTCAATATTTTATTTATGGAACAATGCTCCTATACCATTATCTATATATAGAAAAGGCTAAGTGACCGTCCAACCATCTGCCCGGTACCTATGATGGGGAATAGTCTCCAGGGGGCAAAGACTCAATGCAGGAGCTGTGGAGCTGCAGTGACTTGGCAGCAGCGGATCCTGGGTGATGCACACTGGAACCAGAGAGGAGGAAGCCCGGTTCTGGGGGGTGTCCCTTGAGAACTGCCCTCTCAATCCGGGACCTCTTGGGGGATGTCAGAGAGCCAATTTCGGTCCCATCCCCGTAGGCCACGATGAAGGATTGCTCACCCCACAGATTCCCTTCAAACAAGAGAGTGTCCGTGGGAGGTTGGCTCCAGGGCATGTCTGGCCCGTCTTGCCCAGTCCTGCTCCACCGGTCACCTTCTAATTAATTTCCTCTTAATGTGCATGAGTCAGTGCACAAGGACACTAGTTTTCAAATAAAAATGTATAAAATTACAGGAAGTTGTTAGATAGAAATGCAATGGGATGTCAGGAGTAAAGAAAAAGAGGAAAAAAAATGGTTGCGGATAAAATATGGCAAAAAATAGGATAAAATGGCGCAAATCATTTCAGATAACTTGGCTGCTATGCTGAGTCAAACTTAGGCGGAATGTGATGTGTTTTGTGGA